TAAAGAAAAATGCATTGGTTTTATATAGCAATAAATAAATATTAAAAAACATAAACATAATCTCTTAAAAAATAATAAAATTTTTTCAGATAAAGCGGCGCTTTTTTTCTCAGACGACGAGAAATCGTATAATACTATATTTTGCGAGAAACCAATATAAATTCTGAGCACATTAAAACTAGTCATGTCGTAAAGACACGGAAGAAAAGTATTATTCAAAGTCTCACGTTTTTCCATTATTAATCCGTTGATAACAATAATTTAAACCGTACAAACTAGTATCGGTACTCGTTTTTGTTTTCCTTTTTTGAGCCGCGACATCCGACATCCAACTTTTAGCGCAAGATTAATTCGCCATAGTTTCAGACTTTCTCGATAATTTAATAACATTAATAAAAAATATATATATATATATATATGTGTGTGTGTGTGTAATTTTTTACGTGATGTTTTTTTGTATCTTTACTAGCTACAGATACAAAATATATGTTAATAAAACCAAATGCCGTATACAGCATGCCAGTATTAAATTATATCGCTTGAAACGCAGCTGCAAGATTGTTGATATATATAATAGATCTAGTCTTTATTTATTGCACCAACATAAGACGGAAATCACAATCATTATCGAAAATCTCTACTCGTACTATTTAAAGAAATATACTTAGATCTTCTCATCCGAGTCACGACTTTCGACAACGGCTCTTACTAATACATATATGTATATATTTACTTATATGAACATCTTTACGTGTCTCACCTGCCTTACCATATATGCGTACGCTTCTGCATTTCGATTTAATAGGGACATAATACTATATCAAGACGATCGTCCGTATTTGATTGCGTGCACATATTTCGGCCTGCCGGAATTCTTATTTACATCATATATAATTCGAATAAAGTGAAAATAATGCCACTTATAGAATCGTATTTCCGCCAAACGCTTTTTTTTTTGGTAGATAACGTGACTAACATTGCGTGAAATATTTCGCGCGAATTTAAATGTACATATTAATTAAAGCATCGCGTATTACACATAATTATTAGTCGATTCTTGCAGAAGCTATGTGTGTGTATGTACGTAAATATTATGTTTCGAAATCTTCACCACATGCGAATACGGAATAATGTTGTATCGGTAAATTTTATCTTTTTTTTCTTTTTTTAGCACGATATATCAATTACCTACAATTTTTTTTGACAACGGAACTATATGTATGGATGTAATGCCAGTGCTCTGCCACGTAAACCCTTTTGGCCTCCGACACCACCTTTTGGTATAACATATCCTCCTGCGTGTCTCGCTGTACCTTCTTCCTCTAAATTGCCATTACTCTCGATCAAATCGCGTAAAGGCCAACAAGCTAGGTGACGTGACTTACCGTGACGCGCCAGAACGTGATATCCTTGTCTAAAAATATTAATAACCATAAAAATAAATTTTTTTTTTTTTAATCTGGAATACACAAAGAAAACATGAATAATCATGTTTCTATCATAGAAATTATTTGTAATAAATAGTACAAATAATTTCTAAATCTATCAGATTTTTTTATTTTTAATATTGACTGTACCTAGAAGAAATTAGTCCCACAAGTAACGCCCAATGCGCTTTATGGCCCCTCTTTAAACATGGAGCGTGGTTAAAGTCTGAATCGTACGGAATCAGCACCATCGCTCCATGCGCCAAAGCATGAGTTAACGTATCTGGGCATTGTTGTAAATCTACTAGAATATCTGGTCTGTGATCGGGCAGATATTCCGCAGCTAAAGTTCCCATAAAATCGACGCTGTAAACTTCTCCGTGTTGCGTGAATCCTCGAACGCGAGCTTCGGCAAGAAGCTGGCTCACAGAAACTGGTTTTGTGTATTCTTGCGATGCCATTGCAAGTGCTACCAAACCACATCTGTGAATTATTTCATATTTTAATATCTCCATTATGGTTACAATTGTACAAAGATATTAAAGATTAACCGACTGTCTACATAGATAATTAATATATGAAATGGAAAATTGATATAAATTATAAATAAAGTAGGAATAATAAATTATTTTTCATCTCTTTCAAATGGGATTACATATTTCAGTGCAATGTTAAATAACATTAAAAAGTTATTTGTAACGAAATAAATTTTTAATTAAAGATGACCAACATATTAAGATAATACTTACTGTGGTCCGTCTTGAAGAATTGGTTCTACTTGACAGAAGTAAGTTACCTCTGCATCTTTCAACTCATTTCGTGAGATCAGCTTTTCGATTTCGGCTTCTGCGGATGTGAGTGTGATTTTAGCCCAAGGAGGCAGAGATTCGGTATCATTGACTTCTGTCTTTTCACACATAGGTGCTTCTGGCAAGTTTGAAAGAGGTGGAGGTGGTGCTGGCATTTCTTAACGTCCAAATGCAAATAGGCAATTGCTGGATTGAATATAAAAGGATTTGAAATGTTTCAATAGCTACAAAATGTCATCCATAGATGTGATAAGATTTGATTCTATCATTGTTCACAATGATATTTTGAGAACATTCAACTGGAATATCCTTTGTTCATCCTAAACAGCTTCTTGAAATTTTCTGCAAAATCTGTCGAAACATAAATATCGTATAAATAATTTTAAATTTAGAATTTAGTTCGAATGTACGACTAACTCTTAGCATCTCACAATCGGTATTCGCGATTCGAAGAATTAGTTTCGTTATTTGAATTTATCGTATATAAGAGTCGATCAAGAGGGAGAAGGCATGTTGTCATGAAAATATGCTTCTCGGCTCTGTCGATCGTTCAAAACGTTGAAAGATTCGATAATGCGAATACAATGCAATTACTGATACGACAAATCGAATGTGCAAAGAGAATGTCAACGCGTTTTACGAACCGATATTCGGAGCGTACCCTCCGCGAGATTTCTAATGGCAGCGCGATATAAAAACATCGGAAAGAATAATGATCAACACAATCGCATCCGTAACAACGGGATACAGAACAATACATTACTAATATTTCGATTACAGATGCAATCGAACAATGCGATGGTTGGCTCGCCCGGGGAGAAAACACAGAGATCGGCTGTTTTATATTTATCGTATAACGAGAAGAAGAGACGAGACGAGGAGTCGAGGAGGAGATGAGATATCGTGCTGTATGACTTTGACGTTTGGCACACGTTCCCCTCTTCCCCCACCCTCCTCATCCTCCTCGCCGCCCAACGTCCGGCCTACCGTTGCGTTCGCCCGTTCGTCCTGTGACAATTCGTGACTCATGCATATACATTATGTAATTCTGAAATGGGAATACTAACGCTCTCTCTAATGCATCCATATTACGGCTTCTCTCGCCCTGAGCTATCGAGAGTTCGTATCGCGATTAATTAAGGGACACACACTGACGACGAGATCCAAGTTTCACGGTTATGTCTTTATCGCGTACAATCTTTGTAAATGTAAACGCGAGTTTAGAGTTCAGGCCCTGCTCGCGCTGGCGCGGACGTCCGTCGACAAACGACGTCGGACGTCTGCCAAAAAAAAAATATATATATACATATGTATATACTGCCTGATAAGAAGCTTCTCATAGCTCATAGACGTAGCTACGAGCTACGAGATTCAAGACGACGACTCGCGCACCCATTCTGATTAGTCAAATTCTAATTTTTAATTCTTCAATCTCAATCTTCAATGCGTAGTCTGATACGGGCATAACAAGGCCATAGGAGTAGGAGAGTATACTTTTAAGAGCAAATGGGAATTGCCCATTTCGTTACTCCCCGTCTAAACATCACTAAAAACAGTATACTCTCCTACTCCTATGGCCTTGTTATGCCCGTATCAGACTACGCATTGAAGATTGAGATTGAAGATTGAAGATTAAAGATTGGAATTTGACTAATCAGAACAAAAGGGACTAAAATTTCTTTATTCTGATTGGTCAAATTTCAATCTTGAATCTCAATCTTCAATGCGTAGTCTGATATGGGCTTAAAGCCCGTATCAGTCCATACATTGAGATTGAAATTTGACTAATCAGGACAAGGAAATTTTAGTTTCCTTTATTCTGATTGGTCAAATTTCAATCTTGAATCTCAATCTTCAATGCGTAGTCTGATATGGGCTTAAAGCCCGTATCAGTCCATACATTGAGATTGAAATTTGTGTGACCAATCAGAATAAAGGAAACTAAAATTTCCTTGTCCTGATTAGTCAAATTTCAATCTTGAATCTCAATCTTCAATGCGTAGTCTGATATGGGCTTAAAGCCCGTATCAGTCCATACATTGAGATTGAAATTTGTGTGACCAATCAGAATAAAGGAAACTAAAATTTCCTTGTCCTGATTAGTCAAATTTCAATCTTGAATCTCAATCTTCAATGCGTAGTCTGATATGGGCTTAAAGCCCGTATCAGTCCATACATTGAGATTGAAATTTGTGTGACCAATCAGAATAAAGGAAACTAAAATTTCCTTGTCCTGATTAGTCAAATTTCAATCTTGAATCTCAATCTTCAATGCGTAGTCTGATATGGGCTTAAAGCCCGTATCAGTCCATACATTGAGATTGAAATTTGTGTGACCAATCAGAATAAAGGAAACTAAAATTTCCTTGTCCTGATTAGTCAAATTTCAATCTTGAATCTCAATCTTCAATGCGTAGTCTGATATGGGCTTAAAGCCCGTATCAGTCCATACATTGAGATTGAAATTTGTGTGACCAATCAGAATAAAGGAAACTAAAATTTCCTTGTCCTGATTAGTCAAATTTCAATCTTGAATCTCAATCTTCAATGCGTAGTCTGATATGGGCTTAAAGCCCGTATCAGTCCATACATTGAGATTGAAATTTGTGTGACCAATCAGAATAAAGGAAACTAAAATTTCCTTGTCCTGATTAGTCAAATTTCAATCTTGAATCTCAATCTTCAATGCGTAGTCTGATATGGGCTTAAAGCCCGTATCAGTCCATACATTGAGATTGAAATTTGTGTGACCAATCAGAATAAAGGAAACTAAAATTTCCTTGTCCTGATTAGTCAAATTTCAATCTTGAATCTCAATCTTCAATGCGTAGTCTGATATGGGCTTAAAGCCCGTATCAGTCCATACATTGAGATTGAAATTTGTGTGACCAATCAGAATAAAGGAAACTAAAATTTCCTTGTCCTGATTAGTCAAATTTCAATCTTGAATCTCAATCTTCAATGCGTAGTCTGATATGGGCTTAAAGCCCGTATCAGTCCATACATTGAGATTGAAATTTGACTAATCAGGACAAGGAAATTTTAGTTTCTTTTATTCTGATTGGTCACACAAATTTCAATCTCAATGCATAGTCTGATACGGGCTTTAATGCCCGCATCAGACTACGCATTGAAAATTGAAGATTGAAGATTAAAAATTAGAATTTGACTAATCAGAACAAAAGGGACTAAAATTTCTTTATTCTGATTGGTCAAATTTCAATCTTGAATCTTGAATCTCAATCTTCAATGCGTAGTCTGATACGGGCTTAAGGGAGTTAGCGGTCTAGTTATATAGAAGTCTGTAGCCTTAAGCCTTAAGAAATTGACCAATCATAGTCAAGTATGAGGAGAATACTCGACTGTGATTGGTCAATTTCTTAAGGTTTAGGGCTTAAATCACCTATTGTAGACCGGCACTAATCAACCTTGGGTCAATCAAACTTGCTTTATTCGAAAATTATTAACGGTAGGATTTTTAAACGCACCTTTTTTGCGATGCATCGAACTTTGAATATTTTTCACACGGCATTACAAATACTATGAATCGTTTTATTAACCAATCGAATTGTTCCGACCACAATCTTCTATATATGAGAATATATGATCCAATCAGAACGAAGAAGTCAAAGATTCGCAGTTCGTAATTCAAATCCGAGCCGCGTCCGCAATGCGTAGTGTGACACGGACTTAAGATGGACTCTTCATCCCTTCACACCATGCGTCAGTGGTTCCGGATTCCGACTTCCGACTGATCGATCAAACGATTCGAAGCTTTTGTAAGACCGAGTGGAGTGGAGTGCGAGATCGAAAATCGAAGGCGTCAGGTGTCAGTCAGTGACGCGGAATTACAAATATTTGTTCTTATAAGAGAATTGCTTTTATATATGCGGAATATTTTTTTTAACTGAGATTTTTAAATCTGCTCTCTCTTTGATTGGTTGCATATTTAAATTTCCGTCACGCTCTCTCCACTCTCCAGCATCGTTATTATCGTAAATACGCGTCTACTTGATATCGAATGTTTTTCGTGCAATTTGATAAAAGTAAACGATAATAAAAAACGGATAGCCTATCTGCGAATGTTGATTTGTGCAATTGAAAAGGCAATGAGCTATCTTCGAATGTTATCTATCCGAATATAAAATAATCGAGGCATATAATTCGCAAAATAGAATGGATTTAGTTTCAAATGGTAAAGGTGGGAAAGCAGGAGACAGTTAGTCATTGCTTGAATATATTTAACAATAATAGTGTTAAATTACTTTCAAGTTTTAGAAAAACTTTATGCATTTCTCATAGACTTCTTTTCAACGAAACATGAATGGACTTGGGATGAAAAACACTCGACATCGTCGATCAAATTATCGGATGATAATTTAAATGTTACATTTCATCCTGTATATAGCACTGGCACAGCAGTCGCGAAGGGTAACAAGCCACTGGAGAAAGGACGACATCATTTTTGGGAGATTTTAATGATAACAAAAATATATGGTACAGATGTAGTAAGTTTGTTTTCCTTTCGTTTGATGCATCTTGAAATTAATTGTTATTTCTAACAAATAGCATTGTTCTGCAATGTATATAATTCTTGTCACTTTTTTGTTTAGATGGTCGGTGTGGGAACTGCGAATGCAGAACTCGATAATGCAGGTGAGATTTTTTGCGCTCTGCTCGGACGAGATCAAGAATCTTGGGGTTTTTCACATAAAGGATATTTACAGCATAATGGTAAAGAGTATAAGTATGGGACGACCTTTTGTCAAGGTAATTTGGTGGGTGTACATCTCGATGCTTGGAGCGGTACGTTACAATTTTTTCTCGATCGAAAGCCACTAGGTAAGCAACAATATTTTTGTAAATGCACTTCCTAGAAATATAATTTTAGTCCTTTTGTAGGTATTGCTTTTACAAGGCTGAACAATGTTGCGCTTTACCCATTAGTAAGCTGTACTATGGCTAAATGCGTAATGAAATTAACTTATAGCTGCTCAACAGCAGTATCTCTGCAAACTGCTTGCCTAGCAGTCTTGTCACCTTTCCAAAAAGCATACCTATCGAAAGCATTTCCCGGTTTGCGTTATCTTTCCGAAAATATATTTGCTGATATACTACGAAAATCTATCGGTACGTCTTCTAACAGATCTTGTATTTTGTTTTTTATAAATGCAATATAAAATTCTGTGTTACAGATTATGATAACTGAATATGTCATTTTAGACGATTTTGATTACGCCCTTGTAGGTATTGGAGTAAAAAAGAAGAAACATTAATTAAAAAGTACTTATATTACATGCAGGCCTGTGACAAATAGCCAAGTAATTAATATAGATACATAATTCATTTCTATGCATATTTATATATATAAATGTATAATCAATTGTAATAAAATGGAGATTTTATGTACAACGTAATATTTTTGTTACACTACTAAAAAATAAAAAGAGGAATAGTATACATGAATGTAAGATAAAAAGATCTTCAAAAATATTTTTATCATAAGCAATGATTTTTTAAATATAATAAATATATACGAGAAATATTAAAAACAATTACTCTCTAATTTAAGAAAATAATGAATGACGTACAATCTCTCACATATTCAAAATATAATTAAAATCAACACACTCGGTCAACATCTTTATTAATTTTCGAAATCTTTTGTATAAAATAATCTACTGTTAAAGACATTATTTTTCTTTAAGAACTTTTGCTTGTACAAAATTTTCGTTTCCATGTTTTCGCTTTCCGATTAATTTAGATTTAGTATTGATTTTTGCAGAAAATACAATAGCTTGTGCCCATCCAGCTAATGGGCCCCATAATCCTCGTAAATAATTACTGACTTCTGTGTGAATTTTTGGCGTAACCGTCTTCTGTTTTCTCAAGTGTGGTAAATAATTTGCCTGTGCTATTTGAAAGATATGGGTATCGACAGGTATGGCATCTAAGTGACCCAATGACATTAGACATATACAATCGGCAACTTTGGGACCGATTCCTGGTAAAGTCATCAGTTGTTCTCTAGCAGTCCGGTAAGATACATTATTTTCTTTTTGTAGATTTAGAAGCCAGTTTTTCCCGCCCAATGTTGATAAACGGTCCGCTGTATTAACTATGTATGCAGCACGATAACCAAATTTTTCTCTTTTTAGTATACTTTCTACGTTTTTTTCCTTCAAGGCTTCTATTGTTGGAAAATTGTAATATTCTCTATTTTCAATTGAGCATATTTTCTGACCAAATAACGAACACAATTTTTCAACCATGTTCGATATCCTAAAACAAATGTATATTTCTAGAGCCAGTAATATAAATTTGTATATTAGCTCATTATGTATATTTAAAAATATATACCTCGATATATTATTATTAGAGCTACATATAAATGAGAATAAAGTCTCTACAACATCTTGCTTTAATATTCGCACAGCATTACTTTCATCCAGACATTTCTGGAAATATGTGTCTGTTTCCGCCCACTTTTTATAATGTTCCTTCAATGATATTGATAATCTAAGATATTCAGACAGAATGTTATCATAGTGCACACGATTCTTTAATTGTCCTTGTACGGTATATAATAAATGAGTATCATTTTGAGATAAAGTCCAAATGCATCCATCAAAGATACCTTTATATCCATCGTCACAATCAGTCCATCTGAATAATTGTTAAAATTTCTGGTTTTGAGATACGATTTTTAAAAAACGCAAACTAAATATATCTGACGAGTACTAATCTATGATGAATGAAAAATTATAAAATATTTCTGAATTGTTGAGACATTAACATTTTCTTGGTTACACGCATATTATATATATATATAAATTTGTATAAATTTCATTACCTAAAACTTTGACCACCATGCAAAGTGAGAGCTAGATTCAATTCCGTACGTAAACAAGGAATACTGCCCCGTTTTACTTTCGTTTCATACATCGCGTTATGATGTCATGCGATCTTCATGTAACCTCGCGCAAACTTAGCCATTTAACGATTGGCAAATATTGCTGAATTTCATTTTTATTTAATACTATTATATATCTTTATATGCCGCACGTATATTATTTAAACAAAAGATTCAATATATCAATCGCGAGCAACGAAAAGATAAATTGTATCGCGTGAAATATCTTTGATGCACACGTGCAGTTGACCACGTGACTATCTTTTTTGGCGGACTCGTAGACACAGCTGATAGGTGATAGGTTTGTCCGATGGCACATATTTACACACCTATGTTTTAGTTTTAGCATCATTTTGATATCGCGATTCAAAGTTATATAATGTACGGATAATTTTTTATTAATTATTTACACGATACATTATAAATTTTCTTTGTCTTTTTCTGATGGGGATGTTTTCATTGACATAAGTACTGGGTATTGAAAGAAATAAAAGACTTCCGGACTTAGGTACACTACTTATATATAAGGGTTAGTGAAAGACAAAAAAATCGCATAGTATTTTTTGCATGATTTAATTTTTCTTTATTGATGCATGTGTCACATCTCAAATTTTCATCTAATACATATACTTACAAATTTGTGAGATTTGCGCGTAAACGTTACAATAATTATTATTTCTGATTTTAATAAATGGAAGAATTATTAGCACAAAAGTGCTTTTATATTTATGTCGTGGTAAATATAAATATTCATTCTGTGAATGTTTTCGATACTGTATTTTTTGTTTTATAAATTTTTAAAGCATTTAAGAATTCAACAAGCGAAAGAGGCTTTTTGGAAATATCTCTCCTTTCTCATATCTTTTCTTGGATTCTTTCAAATATATATATATATGTCTAATCTCTATCTGTTTTCGCGGATTAATAATTTACGATTTTTATGTAATAATTAAATAGTCGAGATATATATTTTAGAAGCAAAAATGATATCAGAAATCTATTTTATGTATAAATCGCTCGAGTTTGCCATTTATTCTTACGCAAAACGGGCACGCGTGCGATTCTTTCAAGACCGCATACACACACACACACACACACACACACAAACATATACATACTTTTAAATATTATGTACGTGTTTGTACGCTAGAGATCCAGTAAATGGATCGGTCGTTACATTTCCGGTTAAATCGAATATATATGTATAAATTTTAAAATAAATCATTAAACTTTATAGGCGCTATCTTTGATTAATTTAATGTCGATAAAAATCGAATATATATACATATCTTTCTCTGTCTCTCTTTTTAGCTTATATCTTTTAGATTAAAAATGGTATTAAAATTAATTACATTTAATTACTAAGATATTTAAAGGTAAAAATATAAGTTATTTTAAGAGGTGTCTAATCAATTTCTTAGTCGGAAATATTTGCATACAGATAAAGAGAGAGGAAAGAATATATCTGAAAAGTTCAATGACTTATTCTAAAATTTTCTTGTACAAATTATTATCTTGAATTGAAAATATGTATTTGTAAATGGAATATAAATAATAGTGAGATAAAATTAATCCTCTTACATCTAAATTATATATATTAATATATATATATAAACATTATTTTGTGCAGCTTGTAAATAGCTAATGTATATAAGTACATACAGTATTATAATAATATCTCATCAAAAATGCTAAGCTATTTTTATAGTATCGATTATGTTTCATATGTTTTATGCATTTTATCTTTTTTTTTATTTTTGTGTTTTTACATTTTTGGAATGCTATCTAAAAGTTTCAAATGCTTTAACGAACAAAAGTTTAAGATTATAATTTTATTAATTTGGTAATAGTACGCCAGTGATATTTAAAGTTAATAAATTCTATCTACAGATTTAACTCTACATTATACAAGGATCGCCGATACTTACGATGACATTTTGCAATTAAACGGCAGAAACGGTAAAGTAAACGAATGAATTAATTCAAATCTAAATTTCATTATGAAATGCGCCCAAACATTTTTCTTTTTATTATATCTTTTTAGTATATTGTAGTATATTGTAGTATAAAAAATATGCCCCAGAGAAATATAGCAAGCAATATTTTGTAGAGAAGAAGACATCTATGAGCCTAAGCTGAAAATTATGTTCACGTATACTTGTAAATGCATTCTCTTCGCTTCTGAACGTTTTAATTGAAAATGTCTGATATGATTATCGGCAAACTTAATATATAATAACGCTTCTCCGTATTAAAGATATTACGATATATTGTCAATCGTACCTTTGGCGATATATCTCGATTTAATAATCGATTCGATTTTTTCCTTTTTCGTCTTTTTCTTTGATATATTATAAATATTCGATAAAATATTACATCCCTGAGAACTGCTATTGACATCTCCGGAAGAAGGATATTTCATTATCTCTTTACGCGTCTCACGATCTCTTACGTTTTACAGCCTTAGTAAGGAACATTATCCCGTACGTGAGCTTGTTTTCGATATTCGTGATGTTGACATTTGCCCCACCAAGTCCGCTTCACGCACACTTTTTGCGGTTTCAAAATAAAGCACTTTGATTGCAGCACATCGAAGAAGATCTTGCCTATAAAGTCCGCTGACGCAGTCCCGGCCATTTTCAAACATGTGCGAAATCTGTAATGTCAGGAAAAAAAAATTGCGCTTTGTATATCAGATGCGAACGCAATAATCATCTTCCTAAGCATTAAAATACTGCTGCGCGAGGGATAATTCTTTTATCGTTAATAAATTTGATTTGTGACATTTATATATGGTTTAGTGCCAGTCGCACGTGATATGTATACATATAGAGATCTACTACTGACGCGTACCTAAGATATGTGAGGGAGATGCGATATATTACCATAGACGTTTATAACGCATATGTTGAAAAATATAGATTAAATTATAAAATAAGGTTCGCGTGGCTGAATATAGTCCAAAAGTCGAATAATTATTCGGCCATCCAGTACATTATCAATCATCCGATCATTCTACTTGCGGGGTACGTATAAACGTTCATTCGAGCATGCGATGCGAGTGTGTTTTCTCTCACAGATCGCGCGCGAGATCATTAAATAATAATTACTCACCGCTCGTCGCAAGCGCAATGCATCATGCTCGATATTCTCCAATTGAAAACGCCGTAACGCGTCTCGAATGCCGGTATGTGAAAGGGACAGGATGTGTCGTGTTTTCGACAACAGGCGTCGGCCACCCCGAAGCCGCCCAGATTGGTATATTTGGTAGCGCGGTCACCTCGGCCGCACCATTGCGTCCCCGGTATCATGAATAGCTCTCTTCGGGTCCGATTTCGGCCTCGTTTTTTTCCGATGTTTGCCGTCGCGTTTGTCGAGCTCGAATATTTCCTGTGTTACAAAACAACTTTTTGCACTCTCTTTTTTCTTCTCGTCACGCATTTAATTGTTATGATAAGCATGGGGCGTGGGGGAAAGAGAGAGAGGGGGGGGGGGAAGGGGGTACATCCCCTCTAGGGTGATGTCGAAGGAGATGTAAACTCGGTCACGCGATCGTACCTATGTCGATTTTGAGCCGCGACTTGACTTCGTACTCGCATTCTCACGCGATCGCACTGATAATGAAGCTCCGATGACGACAATAGCCAAGAGAGATCGCGGGGTATCCTCGAAGCGTCCTTGCCGTCCAGTTGGAATACCTCGATCGACACCTCGTCACCGTCATCGTGATAGTGATAGACGCGGCGAGAGCTGGGCAAACACTCGCTGTCATCCCACCGTGCGAGCTTCTCGTCAATGCAGTCGGTCAAAGTTTCGCCGGCATATATCAATTGCAGCTTTCTGCTTGACTCCCGAAGCCAAACCTGTCGCAGCATCACGTCCGTGTTTCTATCGAAAGAATAAATGATTATTGTAGCGTAATTTAACGGTTAAAGTAAAAAAAAAAATATTAAATTTCGGGAAATATTTTTTCTTACACGACGTCGGTCGTTTCTTTTTCTCAGCGAATTATTATTTAGATTATGAAAAGACATGATTTACTATAACTGCGCAAACAATCGGCGTATATAACATTTACAACAAAAAGAGAGAGAATTTGACGAGATTATATCGAAGCAAAATAAACTTTCCGTTGTCGCGATTTCCGTAATTAGTTATCTCCTGATGTATTTCGCTGTAACGCAATACAAAGAAGAAGACAAATACCAGAAAATAAATTTTTTCGACAAATTATTCACGCGATAAAAGCAAATTCGGAAGAAAGAGTGGGAACGCTTGGGACAGAAAGCAGAGTGTGCACTTTCTTCACGACGATAAAAGAGCTTTCGTCCTGCCGTTTAAGTGCAAAGTGACGCTTCGTGGTTGTGGTATTTCGTGGTATCCTCGTGAGAGCATCAGCAGATGAGTCCCATCTAGGCGAGGCTAAAACATAGACGGCAACCTACCGAACTACGTTTAGGTCCAGGGTCCAATCCGGTCCCTACGTAAAGGTTCCGAGACACCCGCACGTCGCAGGACCTAATCCTTGCTTACTTAACTTGCCGCTTTTCGGCTTAAGAGCTCGGTTGGCTTTGCGGTTACTGTCAACGAATAAACATGATAAATTTGTGCCATTTGTATCCCCCTTTTTCGCTCTAACGGATCTAACGAAATAACAATTATATTATTGTATTTTACACGTTACTTTATTATTATTATTATTATCACGCTGTATGTTCAATCAAATCATTTCCCGATTTTATTTCATTTCTTTGTAATATAATTTTATGTTATTGTCTATATCGCTTCTTTGTTGAAGGCGTTGATGTTTTGATTATATATATATATATA